CAAGCATTTGGAAAACTGATACTTGGAGAACTCAAAGTTGCAAGTGGTTTATTTTCAGAAATTACGGCAGACTCAAGGTTCCTCACTCAATAATGAGCCTCCCACTCACTGGGACCCCCTTGTTCTTTCTTGATGGGGAGGAAAGGGCATTGAGCTACAGCAGGTGGGAGAGAAGTTTGCATAATCCTGGCTTCTGCCTCTCCTGGGAGTGTGTCCTATGTGAAAGTCCTCCAACCTGGGTAGCCTCCTGGAGGAAAGGATGTGAGGCACTGGGACAGAGGGAACTGGACATCACTTCCACCTCTGATTGTGTGCTTCAGCCCTCAAGCCCGGGTCCTTGAAACCATGGAAATCACACCCAGGTTTGACTCTGTCACCCTAAGTTCCTTAGTTGAAACCCTGTGTACTATGTTTTGAAACACATGCATTAACATGCTCCTAGATTACTGCATTCATGACAGATGCAAAGAAGATACCTCTGCTAGACTAAGATTACTGTTTCTTGAATAAATATAGTTAGCCTCTACTTAGTAAACCCAGTTTCCAGTTAATTTTGAGTCAAGATAGCTCTCAATTCCCTAAGTGCTCATTGGTCTTGCTGACCTCACTAGTATAAGATTCATTGAGTACCTACTGCGTTTCAAATACTCTTCAGGGCACCAGAGATAAAGCAGTAAACTCTTGTTCTTGGTGAACAAGATAAATATAATAACCTCTACACTGATAAAGTTCGTAATCCTTCTATACTGGACCCAACCCAAGCCTTTACTAAGCCCGCCATTCCTCCCTACCTTCTTCTGCCTTCAAATATTGTATATCAGCCTTATTTTGATCACTATCAATCTCTAACTGCCAGTGAGTGTCTGCTTTGATTCTGCTTCCCACCACCAGACCTTACCACAAGCAATCCTCAGTGGTTACCATGTCGGTTGCTGGGTTTTCTCTTTACTCTTGGACACATTCAGGTGCTCCAAATATGTGGAGCACCTGCAACATGCAAAGCCCCATAAGTTGCTTAGGTAGAAGAAACTCAGTTCCTTCAAAATACCCCAGTGCAGTACGTAACCAGCCACAAGGAGGGTGAAAGACTGACGAGCTGAGAGGAAAGAGGTGTTTTTTTAGATTTTGTTTGATAATTTGTTTTTGCAATGGGGAGAGTGGGTGGTGCCAAGATGGGAGGATTTTACTCGAGCCCCTACATCTATCCTCATAAGTACAGCCACTTCATTCCTAGTAAAGTTTTGTCAGTGACTCCACCCCTCCAATACTGAGTCTTGTCTTCCCTCCTTCCATAAAGGGTAGATGGTTGGTGCCCACGGCTGGCGCTCTGACCAGCTTAGTGTCTGATCGCCAGTCCTTTTTGCTTGCTGAAAAATAGGGACCTACTGAGATGGCAGAAAGAGGTGTTGGGGGGGGAGCCCTCATGTAAAGAAAAAACGATCTTTATTTTGTTTTTTTAACTGTGAATTACATATGGTTTTGTCACATGCAGACTGGCTAACCATATCGCATGCAATTATAAGATTAAAAAGTATACGCCTGGGATAGGTCCTAGGAGACTTCCAAGCAAAATCTGAATCCTTCTGGCCTCAAGACATGAGCCTAATCAGAAATAAAACAAAACTCTTCAGTCAGGTATTCTCATGACAGCATCCTTGAAGACTCAGAGCATATAGGAATCGGAAATGGCTTGTTTCTGTTAAGCAACGATGGCTTCTGTGCGAGACTTTTAAGTGGAAATTTTTTAAAGAACTAGAACACAAACAGACAAGACTTGTGTAGTCACAGGAAAACTGAGGGCTCCTGAAGGAATGACCCATCTGTGATTTGCATCCTTGTTTGAGTCACTACGGCCTGGGGAAGCTGTCACTGGATTTCTCGGGGTTGGCTCAGAACACGCCGTCAGCCCCTCCGATGAGCACTGCTCAGGCCCCAGAGTAGATGGGTTCTGTGCCTCCCTAAAACACCAACTGTCACACAAAGAAAGAGGCTATGAAAAGGGACTCTCTAGATGAACACAGCTGAAATGTCAGTCCCCTCGTCATCGTCTTCCTTTATTTGGAGCTAACGAGGAAGGTTTTGTTTCCTGTTTAAAAGCTGTTCTTTGAAACGCATACAATAATGTTCACAAGACCTTAAAAGTAGTTCTGGCCAACGTCTGTAGGAAGCGCTCAATTTTGAGTAAAACATTATTATAAACAGCAGCGACACACCAGCCCCAAAGAGAGGAAAATTCTTCCAGCTCTCTTTGAACCTTAAAGAGTGTTTTCATAGGCCAATTCATTGTTTTTCTTCTCTCTGAAAAATTAAAAACAATAACTGCCACGGATGAGTTCTACAAAAAAGACAGTTTCCATGATTTCCTTTCTTGACACAGAACAGCTACCTCACTTGGTTTCTGCCACAAGCAAGCAAACTGCCAGACACGTAATGTCCCTTCTGAGGGAACAAGATGGGGCCACAAGATTCTCCGTGGGCTGCCCCGTCTGCACCCGGGGGACGCCGCCCTTCTCCGTGCACAGGGCAAGGTGCGGGTGCCGCTGCACCCACGCAGCCCGTGCTGTCGCAGGATCGCTCAGGGCGACTTCTGCCCCGTCACCACTTGATCTGGATTCTCTCTCCAGAAATTAAAAAAAACACAAGGCGTGCCTGTCTTTTATAATGTTCTGTTTTAAAAGAGAGAAATCTCTGGGGAGAGAATAGGACCCTAAGAGTCCAAGGCCTGGAATTCCTCCTTTCTCTCTTTCCATTTTAAACAGGAAGCATTCATGCTAAGAGAGTCCGGAGGGACCGGTGGTTGTATGTTCATTTTAGGGCAGATAATGTGTGTGTATGTTGCAAATGTCAGTGATTTATCCTAAGGGCTTAAAATGAGTGCAGAAAAACCACATGTTTCACTTCATGCAGAGAAATACCTTCAGTGGATTTTGAGAGAAAGCACAGGTTAAGGATTTTTTTTTTCCAAGTGTTTCAGAAATCTCCAACATGAACCAAAAGGAAATAGGAATGAACATGGGGTGGGGGTAGGAGACTTTAAAAATTCTTGCGATAGAAGATATAACACGTGCTGTAAGTTTTCTAAATCAGAAATGAAATTCTTTTAAAGGCAAGGAAAGGTGAAATGCAGGCCCCTTGGTTTCCCAGGGCTGGAGTGACAGATTATGCATCTGTCCTCTATTTGTCATGGGCAATTTAAAACGGAGCAAAGCAAACTGCATTGAATAATAGCAGCTGATGCTGTAATAACTTGTACGCAAACAATTTAATTTTTTATCTGAAAACTCTCACTAACCAAATTACCCCAGGCTTGAGGATCTATCTTTCATTATTATACATGGCCAAATTAAGACGCAAAAAAGTCGAGTGAGAATTCGATCGTTCATCCTTACGGATGTGTTCACGGGCTGCTTTCCACAGGCACGCGGACGGGGAGGGGGAGCTTGTCAAATCTTCTTTGATTGGCAGAACTCGCAGAGCTGTGTTAGCATCCTGCTCCGCAGACCCCGGTGGAGGCGGGGGGGGGGGGGGGGGATTCTGACCCCCACCGACAGCACCTGATTAACCACAGACACTGTGTTCTTAACAATGCTGTCATTTCTTCTCCAAGGGTCCTCACAGTCTGGACTCTGACTGGAGAGCTTTGCGTTAATTATGTGGTTGCCATTTTCCTTTCTAAAAGACCCTAAAGGGGGACTGGTAACAAATGGGAAGGATCCGGGGGTGGTGGTGATGGTGTTTGTGTGCACAGAAGGTTTATGGGATTTTAAGAACTGCAAACAGAAGTTGTCTGCTTAACCCCAGGCTAGATAAGCAGCAGTCATCTGCACATTGTTTGGAGACAGACTGCTTCCGTTATGGCAAACAGATCCGAAGATGCTGTGTCCTCCCAGAGGGATCCACAGACGGCCACTTCCTGTTAGTCTTGATTCTCTCTCTGCACCTGTGTGCCCACACCTGACAGCTGGTTTGGTTTGTCCCACTCTGCTACTGGCCTGGTGGCACTACCTGACATTGCAGTAGAATGACTTTTTATCAAAGTTCTGGGTGGGTCATTTCCAGCTCTGAGTTGACACTTTTTCTGGGGGCTACAGAGAAGGGAAGGCACACTTATTCCACACAGGATGTGACAGCAGCCACCCAGAGTTAGATCAGATTACTGCCTGTTGAAAGAACACCTCCCAGATTCACAAGACAGGGAGCGCAATCCATAGAGACTTGGCCACTCCAAGAACCCTGGCATTTCTAACTAAGATAGGCAGCAGAGAGGTAAAGAAGCACGAGGCAAGGAGGCTGGTTTAATGATTAAGCCTTAAGAGAGCCAAACTCATTGCCTTTTCTGGAAACTAGTTCCACTGCTATGATACAGGCCAACATAAGAAAGTATAAATAAGATAGAAATTATTCCTGGGGTGCGTGTTTGGCACACAGTTAAAACATTGCTTGGCACACACGTATCCCACATCAGAGTGCCTGGCTTCCAGTCCCAGCTCCACTTCTGATTCCAGCTCCCTGCTAATGTGTACCCTGGGAAGCAGTGAGTGATGGCCCAAGTACTTGAACACCTGCCACGGGCTCCCGGCTTGGCCCTGGCCCGCCCCCAGCTTTTGCAGTCATTGAAGGAATGAACCAGGAAATGAAAGATATCTTCCTTGGAAGTAAATAAATTTAATCTTTTTAAACGTGTATTCCTCTCTCATGTACCGACCTGAGTGTAAGTGGCCCTGACTGACTTGGTGACACCCAGGCACTTGCCTTCTTGCTCTGCCTGTCTCAGCTTTCACCGTGTGGTTGGACCTGCTGTCCCCGTGGCCAACAGGAAGGAGTGAGGGTGGCAGAGGCTTCCTTCTCTTTTTAAAGAAAACTGCATCTCCTCTGCTCTCGTGGCATTGCCAGACCCAGCCTATGGCCACTGCCAACTGCCAAGGAGGCTGAGGACCGTGCTGTTCACCTGTGCAGCCAGCTTGGCCACTGCTGACACATGTCTCTTCTTGTCTTTCCAGGGGAGGACCAGCGGATCCTGTAGACTACCTGACAGCCGCACCTCGAGGGCTCTACAAGGAAAGGGAGCTTCCGTATTACCCAGGGGCTCATCCCATGCATCCTCCCAAAGGGAGCTACCCCTGCGCCCCGGATCTCAGGGTGGCAGATCTCCGGTATCCTCAGTATTACCCACCCCCGCCAGCCCCCCAGCACAAAGGACCCTTCCGACAGGATGTTCCACCTTCCCCTCCCCCGCACCAGAGAGTACCAGGCTATCCAGAAATGGGCAGACCAGGGCCCCGAGGGGGCAGCCCAGACCAGTACCCCTACCGAACCCAGGACCCCCGGCAGAAGAACCCCATGACTGCAGCAGTATAGCTGAACACCACCAAGATCAGCCAAGCCCAGAAAGGAAGACGCCTAACACTAACCTCACCCTTCCTCCACCCTAAGACGTTCTTCCTATTAAGAACTCTCCATGGTACCAATTGGCCACTTCTCACTTGGGTTGCAATGCTTGACTGCTAACCAGAGAGGAAAGAAAGCGGGAGAGATCGTGCATCAGGGTAGAATCAGAGGAAAGCCGGGGTCATAAAAACAATACCATCTGGTATTTATAGAGCATTCAGGATTGTTCAGTTCACTGAAGAAGCAATCTACATTGGAGATCTATTCCGTGCTGCCTGCCTGGCGAGGTAACCTGTACCCGTGTACACACACACACACACACACACACACAATTGGTGGTACCAAGGGAGTCCCTGCCAAGCAGGATTCTGGACTAGCCTCAGTGCCCCTCTGTGGGGCCATTGAGTTAAAGGTTGGAAGAGTAGCAAGACTGCAGATGTGGGCATCTTGAGTATAGTGTGTTCTTAGAGGGAAAAAAAACAATGGCAAACATGACCAGTGACCCCCTTGAAGTGTTTTGTACTGAGATGACTGTTTCAACTATCTCTGCAATTTCTGGGTCTGCTGATACCACTCATTTGCTGTAAACATTTCACCTGCTTCCTCACTTCTGATAGGACATTTGGTAAAATACAGTATGGAGGGTCCGGAGAGAACGTGCAGGGCTAGTCAAAGCTACCAGAAGGAATACTCCTGAGGGCTAAGGTGATCAGGGGAAGATGGTTAAAACCCCATGGTCCTCACCTTCCTTCCTCCCTGGGCATGACAGCTTAGAGATACTTGGTTTCAAAGTCACCCCCAAATCTTCTGCCTGTAATTATTTTAATGGGGCCTCCACTTTAAGACTAAGGGTTAAAGTATACTTATGCAACATAGGGCCAGCTAGTTAGAGGTTGCCAGGGAAGCAATACCCTAGAGATGCCAGTTCCACACTCTGTGTCCAACAGTGCCCGTCTGCACTCAGGGACACCGAGGGGCTGGTTGAGGCCCTTGGAAATTGGTGACCAGCAGGTAGTAAATGGAAGTGAATGATGGAGGGTGTTTGTGTACATGTGTGCATGTGTTCAAACGTGTGATTACCAGGATGGAAGATAAAAATACTTCCTGGGAAGTTTGATGAGGAAAGGTTGGAAAGAGGAGAAGGAAGAGGTGAGGACCCATCAGGGTAAACCAAGCTGCATCTGCACTTTTTCATTAACAAATGTCAAGGCAAGGCCAGGGTCCCCAACTGGGAGAGAGGAAGATCTCCTGACCTTGGAAAGCCGAAATCTCACCCTCTAAAGCTCTGAAGTACAACACATCACAGTTCTTTTCTTCAAAAGAAGAACATCTAATGCTTACAACCTGACCCAAACAAGAATACAGGCAGAAGAAACAATAAACTTGGAGGCAACAATTTGAATTGCTCAGTGGCTCTTGAATTACTTTGCCTTTTCATATTCCTTCTTCATTCCCTCAAAAAAAAAAAAAAGCCTGGACTTTAATTTAGACATATTCCAGCTGAGATTAAAATGCCTCTGGCAGGATTTAATAAATTATAGCATTATTGAATATATAGAATATCCAGCTAGCCCTGTTTGAACTATTTTATTATTTCAACTAGAATTCTGTTCCCAGGAATGATGCAACTGCTGGTTCTAGACAGAAATAGCACGATTTATGGTACTTCCGGAGAGACTGTAGTCTAAAACCACAGTCACTGTGGCTCTCTGGGAAAAAGATTGTCAGGTGTTTTTGTCCTCTGTCAGTTTTCTTCAGCCAGGCACCTTTAGATTGTTTATTCATTCAAAGAGGGTGAGGATCTTAGGCCATGCTCAGCTGGAGATATGGAGCAGGTGAGCAACAGGGTTCCCCCGCCAACACACTGCATGATGCCTTCCCCTTAAGCCAAATAAACATTAAAGAAGAAAATAAGATGAGCACAATGCAGCATTTAGAAGCAAGAAGTATTAGTTCTTCAGTATGCTCTGTATTTTAAAATGATTTCTTTAGACTATTGGATGTATTCAAGCCACAAGGCTCCTTCTGGGTGAAGGCTAGGCCACTTGAAGGGCAGCCAGGGGTGGCAGTGTGAGGTGAGACTGTGTCTAGGGGGAACAACCCTTGCAGGAAGAATGCACAATACCTCTTACACACGGGCTCAGGGTAAGCTGCTCTGAGACATGCTTTTATGCTCTATACACAGTCAATATAATAGTTGCTAATCCTGAGGGTGATGTGAAGGTGCCATGAAAGCAAACAGAAAAAATAGATTTTTTTAAGTCCTCTTCTCATGCTTGAAATGTAACCATGCCCTATTTGATCCTGCCCTAAAGAAGCTAACATTATATTTGTGACAGAGGCTCTATTAAGCCAAGCAATAATTAAGATCTCACATGTAAGCTTTATACATGTCTGGGTATTAACCCCCTGCCCCCACTGTCAGCACCCAGAGGTTATGGCCTCATTCTCAGTATTTAGGAGAACAGGTTCTTTTTAGAGTATTTGGAAGATCAGGCTATGATCAGTAGGTACACAGGAACAGGAAAGCGTTTCCCCACATTCTTTACAGTCTTGCACAAAGCTTTGCAAAAACACAATCAACTGACTCCTCCTAGCTCAGAACTCGAATAGCCCTCCCAGAACAGAGTGGCACATCCAGCTACCAAGCCATCCACATGCACCTGGCTGGCTGCAGATCTGATGGCTGCTCATTTAGGCCTCAAAATGATGCTTGGCCTCAAGTCCCTATTTTTAAGGAGCCCTATTTTTCTCCCTTTGTACAAGAGAAAAGAAAGAGAACAGAACATTGAAAACTTCTATGTGCAGGAGAATTCAATCTTCCTCAAAGGCAAGAAACACATTTTCATTAATCCACCGCACACTGTTTCTCCACAATATTAGCTCAGTAAATGAAAAGCAAGTTCAAAAACAAATAATTTCTTAAATCATGACTTAGTAGCAAACAGAAATTGGGAAAAATTTTATTCTAAGCTCTTTATTCTTAGATTTTTAGATAAAAGTATTTGCACACACACACACACACACACACAGCATGGAGCAAAGATCCTATCACCAAGAGCATGGTAGGGATCCAGAGACCCACTGCTGTCTATGGAGGAAACACCATGAACACCTCCAGGGAAAGGAGATTGGAGACTTCATGGTAGTTTTATTCTTGCTACCAGTTAAATAAAATTGAAACAAGATTCGTTATCTCTCCGAAAGAGTCATGAAAATCTTGAAGCAAGCTATCTTCTGAAGGAGGGTCCCCCTTGGGAAGATCCTGAGGTTCCTTCTGCTTTCCCTGGGGTCCATATAAAGGACATTCACTTCCCCTTAAACTGCAAGCCCAACATTCAGTGCTTTGAAGAGCATCAGATTTCAGAAAAACACAGAAATCTAGAGCATTTGTTTTGTAGAGGAACGCGCATCTGCAAACTTCCCATTGGCGCTAAACTCTGAAATCTATGAGTGGCCTGCAAATTGGTCCTACATTGGGAAGATACCTACTGCTTTCTGAGTCCATGAGCAACAAAAAGTCCAGGTTTAGAGCAATTACGCAGGGGAGAGTTGGATCAGAAACAGCCACAGGAGGATTTCTTTGCACTCCCGCTTTGTACTGACTTAGGAGGAGACGATGAAGTCTATCCTTACAAAGTCACCAGAAAAAAAGGTACCTAAAATAAGCCTAGACTCTCACACGCAGCCACTGCTTCTAAGTGAGACTCTCCCTCATGTCCACACAATAGTCGCAGAATCACACACAGCCTGACTTTTAAAGCAGGGTTTGTCTACCAGGTTGGGAGTGGGAAGTGAACCAGCCCCAAAGACTCTCCTAGCCTGTGTGTGGACTCGGCTCCTTCAAAAAATGTTCGCCTGCTTCATCCGCAGTGTTGTAGGTGACTGGAACATCATCAAACTGTGTTGTTTTATTGTCACTTTTTGTTGTATTTCCTGTGCTTTTGTCATACCAAGTCGGTTACTAACTTCTGAAGATAAATTATGTGAAGTCAGATTTTGGCATATGAGGATCAAGAATGAATTCTTTTATACACATTTTAAAGATGATCTCATTTGTACCACGGGGCTGGGGAGGGGGGATAAAAAAACATTTTGGATATTGTTATATATGAGTAAATAAATTTTTCTTGTTTTATTTTGCATTAAAATAAAGCTTTATTCAGTCAAGACATCAGGTCTGGTTTTTACCTGCCTCGCTGCTTTGCTGTAGGATCTGATGAGTGGACAGGTGGGCCTGGGGCTGCTCACTCCACATTGCATAATTCAGCAGCCACAGTCAAGAGCAGCAGTCGGGGGGGAGGACAAGAGAAAGACCACCTGTCACATGCAGGGCTCCCCGAGCAGCAGGTGGAGACTGGCCGGCAGGATGTTCACTGGGGAAATGCACATGGCTCCAATACCTATGACAGGAAGCAGGACTGGGCAAAGGGCGAAGCTCGCCAGAGCACACTGCCAGCATAGGTCTCAGCCAACCCCACAGGGAACTCTAGAGCAGCGATGCTTCCTCAGACTTGTGCCAGGTTGGAAGAGCGAGCTGGGCCTTTATACCACTGTGTTGATCTGTGGCTATGGGCTACCTCCAGGAAGGGGACAGACCTAGGATCCAGCAATTCTCTGCAGTTGAGGCCATCTCCAAAGAGGGCTGACCACTGGGCGCCATCTTTGGGAGGTAGCACGGCAGCAGAGAAAACAGTCCATTGCAGAAGTGGGATGCAGCTGCCCATTCTGGCAGTTAACACTGTGACCTCTCTCACAAGCTCACACCACCCTCACCTTTTCTAGACAAGGTTCTCCTCCAGTCTATCCCTGTCTCTCTCAAGCTCCATTACTGCCCCGGCTTATTCTCAGATTCCTCTATATTCCTGGCAAACGGAGACTCAGCCCCAGTTTCAGCGACCACCTCCTCCATACTGATTGCTCCAGCTCAGCTCTGTCTCCTGGGCTCATGCATGTCTACCAGACATTGTGATCTGGACATACCACAGGCTCTTTGAAGTCAAGGCACCCACACTGAACACATAAGTCCTCTCCAGGAAACCTGTACCTTACAAATCTGTCCTGGCCAATGGCACCACCCAAGTTCACAGTTACAAACCAGAAATGGAGATTATCCTTGACTTCACACTCATATCTCTGCCCCCTCTCCCTTTCCCGTGTAATAGATGGAAGGCCAGGGGCCAGCATAGTGGTGTAGTGGGTTAAGGTGCCACCTGCATCCCATATGGGTGCCAGTTCTAGTCCCAGCTGCTCCACTTCTGATCCAGCTCCCTGCTAATGAGCCTAGGTAAGCAGCAGAAGATGGACCAAGTGCTTAGGTCCCTACACCCACTTAGGAGACCCAGAAGAAACCCCTAGCATCAGCCTAGCCCAACCCAGCCCTGGCCATTGCAGCCATCTGGGAAAGAACCAGTGGATGGAAGACCTCTCTGTGTGTCTCTCTTCTCCCTGTCTCTCTGTAACCCTGCCTTTCAGAGTAAAAATAATAATAATAAGAAGAAGATGGAATGCCCAACATTGTATCCTGCAACTCATTCAACATGTCTGGGCTTCCAGATACTGTGGTGTGCCTTGGCTCAGCCTCATCACTACTCATCCACCCTCTTTAACAGCCTTCTATGAGATCTCCCCATCTCTGGCCTTGCTTCCCTCCAGTCCCCCTGTGTACCATACAGACTTGCCACCTGCTCGTGCAAATAAAAAACTATTGGAACACATATACGCACCTGTTGATTTGTGGAATTGTTTAGAGCTCTTTCATGCTACAACACCAACCCCTGCTCTATATTTCTGCCAGAAGAATTTTCCCAAAATAAAGATCAGACCATAGTACTCTTCTGAAGACAACACAGTCTTATTGAAAGAACATTGGCTTTGAAAACAGGCGTGGATTTAAAACAAAGTTCAGCCACTGCTTAGTTGTATAACCCTGGGCAAAACACTTGTCTCTCTAGCACTATTGGTGAAGTTGAACTGCTGTACACCTTTTGAGGTTGTTTTGAGAATTAACCCATATGGCATAGACAGTGTTGGCATCAGCTGGTACCAGCTCCCAAGAACCAAACTCCATGTTCAGTGCTATCACATTGGTGGCTGGAAATAGGTGATGCAGGGAGTATTTACAGCATAGGAATTGGTATACTCTACAAATCAAGAATTCCCCCCCCCCCCGCCCCGGAAAGCCAGGTGCCGAACATTTATTGGCACACGTGGTAATAGCATACCCAACAGTCAAGGAACGTTAATCCTTGCTTGCTCTCTCTCTCCCACACACACACACTCAAAACGTTTCTGTGTCCCCCTACTACCTACAGCTGAAAGCCAGAAGTCCAAAGCCCTTCAAAATCAGTCCCCTGTGCCTCTCCCTACTCGTCTCTTTCTGCATCTGGTTTTATGTCTCATGTTGTTATTTTGAATTCTTTTATTTGGTCCGCATACACAGTTCACAACTCTGTGCTCAGAATGCCCCCCTTGCCACCCTGTGGATCCTCACTCATCCCTCCAGTCTGGATCAACCTGTCTTTCTCCAAGAAGCCTTGCCTTGCAGGCAGAAAGTGGAGACCAGTTCCCCCATCCCTCCCACCCTCAGGTAGCAGGGCCCACACAAGACTACAGGGCCTAATTCTAAAGAGCATATTTTGCAGGTTTCCTTACAACCTGGGTTCCCCATGAGGCCCAGCTTCCACCAAACAGACCAAAAAAACCAACAACAATAACACTGAAAAATAGAGCTGGGACTAGACCTGGGGAGCAGACACACTCCTGCCAGCAATCAGTAACAGAGCGTTTGGTTTCCTTCAGGAAATCAGAGCTGGCGTACCGGGGATCAGGAGGCTGCGTGAGGTTCTCCACTGCGGGAGCCTGGGCCCCGGCTGAGACAGTGTGCTTCTGTCGCCCACAGCTGCAGCACTTGCCATTTTGAGCTGCTTTCTGCCCACTGCGTGAGTAACCGCACCCTCAGCAGGCCGGTTCGGTAACGATTTTCTGAGACTTATTCCTGGAAACACAGCCTAAAGCTTGCTCCTCCAAGCCTCCCAATAAATTTGCAAGCAGCCAGCTCGCCAGGTAAATCCTTTTCTGTTCCAGCTAGCTACAAGGGGCTCAGTGATCTGCAGGTAAAGCGACCAAGACACCTTCCACTCCCCTCCTGCGGAGGCAGAGCTGGTAATGCTACTCTGTATGTTACCAAGATATTTCCTGCAGAACCTCAATAAAACTTTTATGGCCTGCATTACAATGATTAGTTTCCACGACTGTGTGGCCTTCTAAGGTGTATCGTATTTGTAACACATTGCCTGGCTCCCAGTGTAGGCTCAAGAAATACTTGGTGAATTCATTTGAATGAAGAAATGAGGTGCGAGGATTCTTTTCCTCAACTGCTACACTGCTGACGGTCCCCTCGAAGCTCAAACCATAAATCTCAAGATCCTGTCGTTAAAGATCGCTTGCTATTACTCCTGAGGTGAAAGGTGTTCGCTCACGTGGGCAGGCCAGATTCTAATTTAAAACTCGGAAAAGCAGGCCAGGAGACTGTAAATGCAGTGGGTAATGCATTATTTAGAGAGTAAAGAGATACTTAAGTAAAGAGAAAATGTATTACTTACAACCTACCAAGACAGGAATACTTTTAGTGACAGATGATTACTGTGATTATTGTATAATTCTTTGGATTTTAGGCAGGAGCTTTGCAATTAGTTCCATTACTAGTTTTTCTCAACTGCTGTGGATGGTGAGTCGGAATGATTGCTCCACTTTTCATACAGAAACCAGGTCCTGCATACAATGGGACTAACCTGAGATGGAATGAAAGCTATTTAGGCATTGCTAAAGAAACTGTAGATTATTTTGTCTTTACAACGGAGATTTCTTTAGTGGTCATGTTCATGCTAATAACTGTTTACGTTACATACCGAATGGTTCGTGATCACAGTAATTTTTGCATCTTCTCATACAAAGAATCTCAGATTCATAGTATACAGACTTACCTTAAGCATTAAGGTTTTGGAGGGATAAAGTCCCTTCCTTAGGGTGTGGCCAACAGGCCTCCTGCTTTGTTTTCCAGCTCACTGGACTCCCAGAGGTCATGGTTAAAGGTGACTGATGTCCTCTGAAGTTGGCAGAGAAATGGACCCTCTAAGACCCTCTTAAAGACTGTTTAAAAGAACATCCTCTTGACTCAAACCTTTATTTGGCTGCTTGCTACCAACCCTACCCCCAAGCCCAATACCTAAGTTTACTGCCTAGTAATTATGTGGCACCCTAAGGAGGAGTGTTCACTGGACCCTAACAACTCTCAACTGTGTAGCTCTTCTGCCTGCTCAATGGGCCAAGCGGCAGAAAAACAAGATGACGCTCAGTTACAGCTCAGCAGACGCTTCCCAGCCAACGCTGTGACGTACTGTGGGCATCCCAGCCTCAGCAAGCCTCGGGGTCTACCCCCCCAGCACCCGAGAGTCGAGTCGAAGAGTAAAACAGGTTCACGGAGCACCACGACTCAGCTGAGTGTTGTCAGCAGAGGAGGGCTGACTTCAGACTTAGGATGGGGACAGGATCTGGAAGACAAGACAATAGCCTTTAAGGACACAATAGCCTTTAAGGATGAGGCCAAGCAAAGAAGGGCATTGACTTTGCAGATGAGAAGGGGAGCCTCAGCATCCGCAGTGGAGATAGGACCCCTCCCCCATCCTGTGAGGCTGGGGTTGGGGGAAGAAATGTAGATTACTAGTGATATCTAGTATTTATTCAGTGTTAGGTAAGTACTAGATGTGGGTCTAAATACTTTTCATGATTTACCCGGTTTAATCCTCGAACTTAGGAGAAAACAGAGCAACAGATGAATTCTGAAAACTTGCCCTTGGAATGTCAGCTCCAACAACAGCGAGTTACTAAGGGACGCTGCAGACACACTTAGGTTCTTGGAAGCATCACTCACACAAATGGGCGTTTAAATAAAATCGGCCCCATGGAAGCACTATGTGAATTGAACCAGAAAAATGCAACAAATCATCAACCCTTTCTGCAAAGAAGAGGGGGTGACACTGAGTGTACAGGAGCTGTGCCAGCTGCCTTCTCCCTGTGTTTATCCCGTTTCCCCCTCACGTCAACAAGGCAGACATTACTCCCATAGTTCAGGTGAGGAAGCTGAGGCTGTGAACCAGCAGTAGCTGCTA